GAGTTTGAGGTTGCTGTGAGCTAGGTTGACGCCACGGCACTGCAGTCCGGGCAACAAAGTAAGACTCTGACAAAAAAAAAAATTAAAAATTAGTTGATGACCAGGCATGATGGCTCATGCCTGTAATCCTAGCACTATGGGAGACAGGAGGATTGCTTGCAGTCAGGAGTTTAAGACCAGCCTGAGCAGGAGTGAGACCGTCTTTACGAGAAACAGAAAAAATGAGCCGGGTGTGGTAGCATGCGCCTGTAGTCCCAGCTACTCGAGGGCTGAGGCAGGATTGGCTGAGCCCAGAAGTTTGAGGTTGCAGTGAACTGTGATGATGCCATTCCACTCTACCCAGGGTGACAGAGTGAGACTCTATCTTAATAAAAATAAAAATTAGCCAGGCATGGTGGCGCGTGCCTGTAGTCCCAGCTACTCTAAAGGCTTAGGCAGGAGGATCATTCAAGTCCAGAAGTTGGAGGCTGCAGTGGGCTATGATTGTTCCACTGCACTCTAGCCTGGGTGAGAGCAAGATCCTGTCTCAAACAACAACTTGTGCTAGGCACAGTGCAGGACAGAGAGAAAAATCAGGACTAACACCTGCTGTACAGTAGCTGACTGGGGTTAGGCTAGAGGTTGGATTAGATATACACACAAGTATGACAGAAGAATCTTTTTTTTTTTTGAGACAGTCTCACTTTGTTGCCTGGGCTAGAGTGCCTTGGCATCAGCCTAGCTAGCAGTGTAGTGTACAAATACATCTTACTTGATATCTATCATTCCTGCTGATGAAACCATGTATCTTACACTGAACCATTTTACTGTTTCCAAAACCTTTGTTGTGATGACCTTCTTGTCCCCAAAGGCAGGTACTGCTGATGTAAGACTGCCCAGGCCACTGCTCCCTGCGCTGCTGCCTGGTGCCAGGCCTGGTGTTGGCAGCGCAGAGGGTAGTGGTGGCAGGTGGCTGCTGGGTCTCGGCCTCACTGCTCATGGTTGCAGTGATGGTGACTGGGGCCAGCTGTGGCAGCTATGGCTCCTTCCCATGTGTAATGGTAATTAGGCCAACAGCAGCAGTGGAACTGCTCAGGGCTCTCTGGGGGTTGACTCTGTGCTCCCGCTACCTATTGAACTCCAGTTATTCTTAGTATGTGACAAGCAAAATACTCAATTGCCAATGTAATCATTGTAATACAACATAAAGTACTAACTATTCATATATATATGTAAAACATGTAAAATATCAAAAACAGTGACAGGCACATGGTAGGTGCTCAATAAATACTGGCTACAATTAGCAACAGATGGAAGGTTGCAATCAAAAATAAAATAGGGGCGCTACTTGCTTTCTATCATCCTCATAGCAGTTTAGGTCTATGCCTCACATATAGCCTATGAAAAATATGTGCTTTCTTCCTTTTTCAATAGTGAATATTATGTTGTAATTAAAACTAATTATCGCGCCAGGTGTGGTGGCTCACTCCTGTAATCCTAGCACTTCGGGAAGCCGAGGCAGGAGGATTGCTTGAGGCCAGGAATTTGAGACCAGCTTGGGCAACATAGCAAGACCCTGTTTCTAAAAAAAAAAAAAAAACATAGAATAAAAGAAAAAAAAAATTACTGAGAGAAAGGTATCTGCTTTGGTGGACAGCTGCATGAGGTAAATAAGAATACGAGTATGTTCAGGAAATAAATGGAAAGCCAAGAAGCTCTTGTAGAAATTTATTTAGTGTAAGAAACAAAATATGAAAACAGTGGCTGTAAAGGACAAATTAATAGCAAGTGGTTATGCACAAGTGGTGTGCATTTTGGAAAACCAAACGATTTCTTCTCAGACCTTAAGTTTCTGGGTACACTGCCTGGGAATTTAAATGCCTAAGGAAAATAGGAAATGACTAAGAGCTGGTATGACTGACTCAAAAAACGGCACCTTGTTTATCACATCCTACTACTCTCTAGTAAAGAAACAAAGCTGGTGGGGAGGGGAGGAATAAATACTGAAGGAATTCACTAAACATATGTTCGTTATAGAGTATTCATTTGTTCCTTGAAGGAGCTAAGCGAGAAAGGAGAGACCAACTCTGACCATAACTGTAGTCAACTTCAGAAGATATGTCTTCAAGAGTCAAGTTTCGACATTTTGATTTGCCATAGAAGAAGAAAAAAATGACACTAGGTTTTAGGGCAGAGAGGGTCAAATATCAATAATCTGAAGGGTAGATGCAGGGCTGGAGTGGGGGTAGGTGGGTGGGCAGTGGTGTTAGAAGGAGAATATAAAGATTAATACGTTCTGGGGGGAACATATGGTAGCTGACCCACACACACAAAGGGGGCCTTAGCGAAACTGCAGAGGACTGATCCTTAGACCAATCACATCTTTGCCAATCTCTGTCACCTGCAGAAGAGGAAACAGAGGAACAAATTAGAGATTCCTGAAGTTAAGAACCCTAGAAAGTTTATTCCCTATACCCCTCAATGAGCACGGTAGATGGGTATATTTGTTGCTGATTGGTAAAGAGCAATGGGGAGAAACTCAAGCTTTCTCTAGTGCACACCTCAGTGGAGTTAAGGGGGAATACAAGAGAAAAAAAGGACCATCATGCTTTCTCTTTCCTCTTCCTTCAATACCATATATATTTTTTTTTTCTTAAATTTCTTTCTTTTTTCTTATCGCTTAGGGAGGTAGAATTAAATATATTTCTTGAGAATAGTACTTACTGTAGTGACTTTGCAGATCTGACCCTTGAACTCAGGGGAATAGCAGGCCCCGCTGAGCGGACACTTCTCTACTGGCTTTCCACGGTAGATGGGCCGATAAGATGCAGCACAGATGTCGAAGGGGTTGTGCATGTCATAATTGAGCTGGTAGGCATCTGTGGGGTTCTTCTCACAGGCTGACAGGATTTTTCGGGTCTAGGAGAAGGAAGGAGTGTTTTAGTTAGGACAGAAAACTGCACGCAACTCTAAGGATCCCATTACCATGGACTGGTAATTCCTTTGATATGAGATGCAACTGTATTATGTGGATACAGGTCCCAACCTCTGTACAGGATGTATGTGAATAGTTAATAGTCACCATTCCTGTTGTATCAAGCTTTCCCCCTCTCAGTACTAAAGCAGACTGATGGATCTAGACCCACATTCCTCCATCAAGTCTGGGGATTATCAGGGTCAGGCCCCAGAAAGGGATAAAACAGGCTTCCATCACCCAAGAAGAATGCTTTTGGAGGGCACAAGTAATAGGATGTGTATGTGATAGTTAGTGGTGGTTATGTTGGGATATCTGAAGCTTAAGGATAGAATTGGGGCTCCTTTCAAGTGAGACAGAGCCTTTTCCAGGTTGCAGATCACTTTTACGCCAGTGGCATCTATGAATAAATTAAATTCAGTTTCCAGGAACAAAAAGAAGCACCTAGGTCAGTAAGTAAACAGAGGATGGCATTCTGTTGGCTTTTTTGGTTGAATATTTTTTTTTTTTTTCAGTCTCCGTAGAGACTGTCAAAAATTGCCAATGCCGACTATATTTCAAGTCGTCATGGCGGGGTATTGGGAAAAGTTTTCAATTAGCAATAATCGCGCCTCGGATAAACCTCATTGGCTACGATACTGCCACTGCGCAAAGCTTGGTTGAATATTATATATTGCTTTATTTCAGAGGCAAGGACTTTGGTCTGCTCTTTCCATGTAAGAGAATAATATCTGGCTCCCCTTTGGTCACTGAAAGAGTTCCCACCTACCTGTTGAGCCACCTCAGGCTTGGGACCAAGTTCCAGCAGGCGCCGAGCAAAGGTGGCAGCTGTCTTGAAGTTCTTGAGCTTGAAGAAGAGGTTGAGGGCTGTACGCAGCACCAGGATCATGTGCACAGGCTGCAGGTTTGAGTGGGTGAAATAGGCTGCCATCTGGTGGACAGAAAGAGGAATACATGCCAGGCTGATGCCATAGCTAGTACAGGTCATTTCTAACCTGCTACATGGGCAAAAAAACAAAACAGAACAACAACAGGACTAGCCATAAAACAAAGAGTTACCCTCCATAACTAGGAGTCCTCCTAATTATGGAGGATTGATGAGATAAGGAAATAGCGTGAAGAAATGTAGCTTCCTCAAGCAGAAATGGACCCAAATTTCTCCCCCAGAGTCAGATCTGGGTTTGGAATTAAAGAATTTAGACCTAATGGAGGGAGAAAGGGAGGATGCCTCTGTAATGCTCACAGTTCCATAGCTCTTACCTCACAGATGCGCTTCTGCTGTTCTAGAGTCTCTTTGGGCAGCTTCTTCCTTTCTATCTCCATCGACAAACCCACAATGTACTCGCGGCAAATAGTGATGAGCTGCTGGGCCTGGAGAGATGGCAGAGGAAGGTAATGGAAGAGAGACAATGTAGGGGTGCCCAGGACTGGCACAGTGGCTAGACCCCTCCTACCTCTGCAATCTCCTGCTTATTGTCCACAACAAGAAGTGGCACACTCAGGAGGATGGAACGGAATTTTTCCACAGCCTCCTCAAACTTGCCAACTGTGGTGAGTTGGTAGCACAGCTGCAACCGTTGGATGAGGTCATTAAGCTTCAGGCCCACAGCCGGTACACCATTCTTTAGCCCTGCATCCTTCCTGGAAAGGGAAAAGTAGGAAGGAGGATAGTCAGTAGCCAACTAGGACTCAACTTTTTCTGGCAAACATCATCATAGCCATCATCCTGTGAAATTAGCTGGAGATAGGATGGCAGTAGGTATAAACCCCAAACCCCATAGAATAACAAACCAAAAATCTTTTCCTACTAGGAAACCCTGGTTCTGAGGTGATTCTGTGTCACTGAGGCTACTATTTGAAATACCTACCAAAACCTCCTGGAAAAAAGGAGCAAGGAGCCTTACCAATTACGATTAGGGTAGCCATACATGGAAGGCAGGCAGGGCAGAGCCTGATAGGTGGTACGGCCTCGGGCATATGTCTGTAGGAACAGCTGCTTGTAGGGGCCAAACTGGATTACCCCTACCTGGTCATGAAGGAGCTGGGACACAGAAGGAAAGAAACATAAGGTTTTTGGTCCTGCCACTTAAAAACTAATTGACCTTAGGAAAGGTACTTAAATTCTCTGTACTTGTTTCCTCATCAGTTATAGACACTTAATTATAAGACCCTACCACATTTAATAATACCTATAACATATTTAGGATAGTGCCTGGCACATAGTGAACATTGAATAAATGTTAGTGGTTGTTGCAGTTGCTATTATTGTTGTTAATTTTATTATAATACATGGTTTAGTGTTCAAACATATACCTATTCAGGAAGGGGTGCTAACTTCACTGATGTGAGCTAGAAGGCAAGCTGGAAATAGGTGGAATTGGCTGACGGATCCACCTTAAGAGATTGCTATGCCAAATGTAAAGCAGGCAAGAGGAAGACCTTATGAGGTAGGTATACTTAAGCAAGACCAAGGGCTTCCATGATGAATATATACCTCTGCCCTTTGAGTAGGATCATTTCCATTTGATTAAAATCAGTTAATCATCTATCTCCCTGTGACCCTGAGCTAGGCACACTGAAGAGGAAGAGCCAAGATTACTTTAAGAAGACTTACCCGCATGGCTGTTTCAAAAGAGCCTGCCAGGATGTGATCAACTGGAAGCTGAGAGTTATTGCACCAGATCTAACAAGAAACCAAAAACCCAAGCCAAGTAAATATTTTGCCCCTTCTCTTCCCAAACTATCCTCTTCCATACCTATAGTACAAAAATATCCAACACTTTTTATATGTTAATCAAGTATTAGCCAGCTCAGATATACTCATCCCTACAGGGCTGTGTTTTCTTGCTTACCTGAGTGGGGCTTGTTCCCTTGGTTGGTGGCACAAAGAATCCATCTTCAGCCCCACCCACTGCCCCAGAGGGTACATCCTAGAAGAAAAACAAAAATTCAGTCACGTTTTAAGCCATTTTGTTCCAATGAATCTAAAACACAACATTTACCTTATTCCCTGCCTCTGTTGAGGAGGAAGGGTATTAGTTGTGGGAGAAGATCCCCAAAATAGGAGCCACCTCATTAGGGACAAAATGACACAGCAAAAAGCTTGTTGCCTTTTCAGAAGCTACTACTTGTACAACCCTGACTCTTCTTTCAAATGAGACAAAAGCATCTGATTTGAGGATAGATGGAAGAAGGCCTTATCAGGATAAGGCCTCTGACTCTCATTCTTCCTTCTTTGAATGGGAGATAAGCATCAGATCAGAAGAAAGGTCTAGACTCCCTTCCTTTTGGAGTCTTCAGTATAGGGGTAGGGAACAGTAAGGCCACTGGCTTCCACAGGGAGGAATGGAAAGAACCTCACAAGGGTAAGAATTCTACATACCAGCTCAGGAGGGAGCTCTAGATCCTCTTCTACATCCCAGCCACCTCCTTCTTCCTGTCCTTTCCCAAGAGCATCATCCCCCAAACCTTCTGTGGCCTCCACAAACCCATCTGTAAGGAAAATCACACTCAAAATAGATTTGGATAGTCGCACAATCTTAGCAAATGAAGCAAAATGTTGGAATCCTGGTTGGCTTTATGGTCTGGAAGCCTGTAGAACTGTTCCATAACCCAGTCCTATTCCAGGGAATCCCTCTTCCCAGAACAGTCCTAAAACAGCACTCCTACCTTCATCCAGCTGCAGCTCCGCATCTTCTCCCCAGCCCTCAGTACCAACAGTGTCAATGTCAATGTCAGCAGCCAGTGCTCCTCCCTTCCCTACAGAAGGAAGGAACAGAAAGAAGCTTGTTACACCCCAGCAAGTCTGAGATTCTGAAATATGGCCTTCTTTGCAGGCAAGCTGCATTCCTTCAAAATCAGGTACCAAGGTTCTGCCCACTTATTACTTTTATGTGTCATTTATTTTTGTGGTATATATGTTATGCTAACTTGCAATAGGTTTCATAGAGGAAGAGAATATAAGAGAGATGGATGCAACTGGCCTTCATGTTACCAAAAACTGGCTATTACACCATTTTTTACTTAACAGCCTTTTCAAATTTCTTCCTGATGGCTTGGCAGGGCTTTAGAACATAGAGTAGGTGGAGGAGACAGAGGAAAGAGCAGTGCTGGGCACAAAATGTCCAGGGGTCTATTTAACCCTTTGCACTCGGATGTCGAGTGTGATTCGACATGGTTAGCAAAAATTATAGAAATTAAAATTACTCTTTGAATATATCAATTATTTGAAATATAAAAAAATCCAAATAAATAAGTTTGTATGAAAAGAAACTCCAGTTTTTTATTCTACTGCTGCACTTTGTAAAATCTGGGGTATTTAAAAAATTAAATCCCAAGTAGAATAAAGGAATTGGGAAAAAAAGCAAGCGAGTGTAAAGGGTTAAGCCCTTATTCAGAAGTGAACTAGGAGACACATCCAAGAAACAGGAGGAGAGTAAGGGAGTGGTGGAGGGTTGTAGCACACATCTGCATATAGCCAAATAACAGAATTAGAGGTAGCTGAAGTTGTTGTTGTTGTTGTTTCTAATTGAAACAGGGTCTCACTCTGTTGCGTGGGCTAGAGTACAGTAGTATCATCATAGCTCACTGCAACCTCAAACTCCTGAGGTCAAATGATCCTCCTACTTCAGCCTCCCAAGTAGCTGGGACTATAGGTGTGTGCCACCATTTCCAGTTAAATTTTTTATTGTTTGTAGAGACAGGCTCTCACTATTGCCCAGGCTAATCTCAAACTCCTGGCCACAAGTGATCCTCTTGCCTTGTCCTTCCAAAGTGCTAGGATTACAGGTGTAAGCCATAGCACCCAGCCAGCAGCCGAAGATTTATGTCATGAATAATAAAATACTGAACAGAGACTATGACTAGATACATATGGTAAAACCTAAGGGAATAGTAAGGCATCCCTGCTCCACCCCCCCATTTTCCAAATTTTCTTTAATGATCTCAAAATGCTTTTATTTAGTTTTTAAGACTACACTATAACTCTGATTGGCATTTTAGTGCTTCATGAGGCTTCATACAGAAAAAAAGACAGATGAAACTAATTGCTAATGGTACTCTTTAGGACAGTTCTTCACAAAACATAATACAACAAAAATGCTATGACCGAACTGGGCACTTACCCTTGCCGGCAATGGAGCCTTCAAAGAATCCTTTGGACACAGTCAATAAAGGCCAATTGGTATCTAATGGCATGATAGGTGCAGGAGGCTGAAGCAGCTTGGCATTAGGGTCAATGTCTGGGATCTGAACAGCAGCAGAAGAAAAGAGACAAAAAGCAAACAGCTCTCAGAAATCATGTAGGCAAAGTTATAGAGCTTCCTTTGATCTTATTTGTTTCTCTGCCTCCCCGAGTAATGAGGTGGGAGAGTGACATTTATAGCTTTAAATGGTTCCCAAGACCTCAGAGTTAATCCTATAATCAGAAACAATATGTAAGTAAAGACTCACTGTCTCCTTCTCTGGGTCAAATGTCTCCTTCAAGCTCTCAGCTTCTTCATCTAAGCCATGGGTAGCAGCTGTGAGATAGGCCAGGGACTCTATAGAAAAAAACAGACTTTGTGGTACAGGTACACCAAGTGAATGCTGTTGTGGCAGGCAGCTCTGAGATGAACACCACATGATCCCTGCCTCCTGGCATTCAAATTCAAATTCTTGTGTAATGCCCTCCCCCTAAGTGTGGGCTGGACTTATTAACTAGCTGCTAATGGATAGAACATGGCAGAAGTGATGGGATGTCACTTCTAAGATTAGATTACCAAGACTGTGGGTTTTATCCTGGGTGTTGTCTTTTGCTCACTTGCTCTGAGGGAGACCACTTGTCATGTGAACTGCCCTATGGAGAAGCCAGCAAGGCAAGAAACTGATGTCTCCCAGACAACAAAGAGCAAGGACCTGAGGACTGCCGACATCATGTGAGTGAGTGTGGAAGTGGATTCTCCCCCAGTTGAGCCTTGAGATGTCTGCAACCTTGGCCAGCACCTTGACTATAGCCTCATGAGAGACACTGAGCCAGAGGTACCTAGCTAAGCCATATCCCAAATTGTGGGATGATAAAGGTTTGTTTTAAACTACTAAGTTTTGGGGCAATGGTATTACATAGCAATAGATAACTAATACAGTTGCTTATCTTTAACATCTATCATCGTGTTAATGACAACTTTGGCATCATCCCTGACTTGTCTCCATCACATCTCATATCTAGTACTTCAATAAATCATGTTGTCCCTGCCTTCAAAATGTACCCAAAGGCTAGGTGCGGTGGCTCATGCCTGTAATCCTAGCACTCTGGGAGACCGAGGCAAGTGGATTGCTTGAGGTCAGGAGTTCGAAACCAGCCTGAGCAAGAGCGAGACCCCATCTCTACTATAAATAGAAAGAAATTAATTGGCCAACTACTATATATAGAAAAAATTAGCAAGGCATGGTGGCGCATGCCTGTAGTCCCAGCTGCTTGGGAGGCTGAGGCAGTAGGATTGCTTGAGCCCAGGAGTTTGAGGTTGCTGTGAGCTAGGCTGACGCCACCGCACTTTCTCTAGCCTGGGCAACAAAGCGAGACTCTGTCTCAAAAAAAAAAAAAAAATGTATCCCAAATCTGACCCTTACTCCTCCACTAATAGCACCTTGGTCCAAACCACATCATTCACCTTTCTTGTTCCCTAATGCATGTCAAATGCTAGTATAATGCTATAGCAGGTACTCAAAAAATATACTCTGAATACAGAGTATATTTTGAATGAATACATAATGAGTGAAACCTCTAGAATTAGAAGTAAAGGAATAAAATTCCAACCAAATATATTTACTAGAGTATCCATTCTAAGCCTTCTAAAACCTCCAATCTTCCCCATGAGTATTTTTCTAAGGGTGTTTGGCCAGACTGAATATTCTGGCTGCGCCTCCATTTGGCTTTGAAGAAAATTTAAGCATGATAGGAGCATGTTGTTTCTCCTGAAAAAATGCACAATAAAGACAAATCACACACCACTATATAAAAATAACTCAACATAAAGAGAAAACACTTCCTAAGGCTCCAAAGGAGCCGGTGGGTTCTGGACAGATACTTACTCTGTCCACAGTTCTTTAGGATCCGTACTCGCTCTGACACGTCACCCAGGTATAGGGCATTCTGATAATGGCCACTCATGTCCTTTCGGATCTCAGCTGCATCAAGTCAGTAAGAGAAACCATGTTATGTCTTCTCTCTTAAGTTCTCTCTATCCTCTATTCATCCTCCTCCTTCTCCCAAGAACCCTCTTTCCATCCTTAGTTTCAGGGGCCTCACCAATCTTCATCATCTTGCGAAGTTTCTCTAGGTTGCCAGTGATAAGGTACAAGAAGGAAAGTTTGTCAAAATTTTTGGTACGCTGATAGCACATTTCCACAATCTGGTGGTTCCCCTGTAGCAGGGCCACTTCTCCCAGCTTTTCCCAGCAGTTCTTATCATCCAGTGCTTTGGCTGCTTCCAGAGCAATCTAAAGAAATCCCCAGGATCAGTGTTAACAGGTTGGAGAATACTGTGATTCAAAACCAGGGACTCTGCAGTCAAAACATTTGCCTCTAAATAAAGTTCCCAAGGAACTTCCTATATTTTCAATCACTCCTAGCTTTTAATCTAATTCTATTGAAAATCCTATCAACAAATAGCACCCCTTTGAATCCATGGACAGAAGAACCACATCACACTATCCTCCTCAGAAAGTTACTTTACAACAGAATCACCTAGCAGTTGCTGATTCCATAAGGGCAGCTTTTGCTTAGCTACCTTATTTCCTACTTGAAAGGGTTTGAAGATACACAGGGACTTTAGGAAAAAAAGAAGAAATAATAAAAGGAGGAGGTTCTGAATTAAAAAAACAATCTCCCTAAGCACTTTCCCCCTTTGAAAATAATGCCTATATAATCTGAGCCCCAAAACTTAATAGGTACTCCATATAAGTAGCTAGTCAGCAAGATTAAGTGTTAAGAAAATAATGAGATCTTCAAATCCCATGATACCTGGCTTTTAACATAGAAGTTTTGAATTCAGAATGACAATGGTACAAATCTATGGCAGAAGCAGAGACAGGAAAAAATAGAGATAAGCAAATAGCCAAAAGAGAGCTTAACCCAACAACTAAAAAAATTCCAAACTTCATTATTCTGGCTAAAGAAGCAAGCCCAAGATAATGCCACCCCAATGCTACCCTAACCCTCTCACCTCCTCTAAAGCAATATGGGGCTGATAACCATATTCCTCTCACCTCAATGTTTCCACACTCCAGCGCCAGACTAAAGCGAGTTTTCTCATCCTTGACAAAATGCAGTGCCACTTCAGGATAGCCCTTCTTCTGGAGATAAGCAATAATAGACTGGCCTACTAATTTGGCATTCCTCACCATGTGCAGTACCTAGACATTTGGGGTGTGGTAGGGCAGGAAGTAGAGATCACTTACAGGAAAAAAAGAAGAGTGCTGTCCCTCTTAATACTCCTGGTATGCATCCCCACCTTCATACCTCATCATATTTTCTGTTGATCAGAGCCAGCTTGAATTTGAACTCAGTGGGATCAATGGTAAGTACCCGAGGACGACACTCCCTATCTAGGCAATATACATTGTTGCCCTTCACTCGTGTGACATAGATGGGTAAATCCAGAGTTCGAATGATTCCATGGTCCCTAAGAATAGGGGATAGAGGGCACAATTTTCAGTAAGTGAGGGGAAAAATACAGCCTGTAAAGAAATGGAACATCAGACTTGTGGGGGGTGGGGGAGAAAGGGCATTTATTGAAACCTTAAAATTTGTACCCCCATAATATGCCGAAATAAAAAAACAGTATAGGCCGGGCGAGGTGGCTCACGCCTGTAATCCTAGCACTCTGGGAGGCCGAGGTGGGCGGATTGCTAGAGGTCAGGAGTTCAAAACCAGCCTGAGCAAGGGCGAGACCCCGTCTCTACTCTAAATAGAAAGAAATTAATTGGCCAACTAATATACATAGAAAAAATTAGCTGGGCATGGTGGTGCATGCCTGTAGTCCCAGCTACTTTAGAGGCTAAGGCAGGAGGATTGCTTGAGCCCAGGATTTTGAGGTTGCTGTGAGCTAGGCTGACGCCATGGCACTCACTCTAGCCTGGGCAACAAAGTGAGACTCTGCTCAAAAAAAAAAACAAACATTAGGTGGTAAAATTGTGAAGAAAAGCAAGAAAGAAATCACCGTAAAAATCAGAATGTTATTTTTGGGTGGGAAAGAAGGGGGCTGTGATCAACAGGACCCACAACAGGACAAAGGGCTTCTGGGTTGTCAGAACCGCTCTATTTCTTGGCTTGGGTGGCAGTTACACAGATGTTCACTACATGACTTATTTGCTATTCTGTGTATTTATAATTTATACAATTTTCTGCATATGTACTATATTTCATCATAGTTTTAAAAATAGTTGAGAAAACAATGCTTAGATGCCCCTACCATATATATGCCAGATAAGGCTTTTCCATGAAGAACAGTGATGAGGGCCTTTACCCACATCTCAAGACAGGACAGTAATTTCATGAAACTGCCTTCTCCCACTCTGTATCCCAGATAATTAACTTACCCAGTGGTGACAGCATATTTGATGTGGTTGCTTGTGGTATAGATAAATACCCCACTCTCATCCCAGGCCCCACTCTTGACACGAATGTTCTCATGAATGTTACACAGAGCATCCAGTTTGCGGTTACAGATCACAATGGCTGTAAGAGGCAAAGGGCATGAGTGCTCTGTTGGATAGGGTGAGTGCAATACACTGGCAGGGATGGGGGAGGGAGGGACTGGTCTCTAAATCAAGGTGGATATAATGAAGACTTACCATGTTTGGCTAGTAGTGCTACATGTGACATGTCTGCTGACCAGATAACATATTTCACCTTGGAAATCTTCACGGATGCCAGAGTCCTGAGATAGAGGGCAAACATGAATGGATCTGATTCTTTTATCTCAGGCTACGATCTACATCCTTTCAACCCTAAATTAATGTAAATCCCAATTTCTTAATGTAATATCACATAAAATTCCCCACATAGTAGCTTAATGATGTAAACATCTTGGCTTACACTGTGCACTTACTTCCCCCTTCTTCAACCTCCTATCCCTCATTCCCCTGTATTACTGAGGATTTGTGCATATCTTCACTACTGGACCATAAGCTCCTTTAGGTACAGGAACTATGTTATTAATCTCTGTGTCACCCTCATTCTAAGCCCCAACAGCAATCTTTATTTAGGTAAGTACTGTAAAAACAGATAAACAAGCCTCTTTGCTGTAACACTAGTGTGTATGTGCAGGATGGAGGGTGATCATGGAAAGGAAAAAAGGGCTAGAAAGAGTCTTGGAGTTATAGCATAAGAAGTGGCCAAGCCAGAAGACAAACTTACTTAGGGAAAAGAAAGCTCCTACTAAAGATGTACACTCTCCCCTACTATCTGCCTGTCTGCTTAGGGGCACCAGACATATTACCGCTTCTGCTGCACATCAAAGAGTGTGATAGAGTCTGCATCTCGAAGCAGGAGGTTGCCTGTGCCAGCATAGAAGATCTCATCACAGTTGGGCACCTGTACCTTTTTGGTGATCTCATTCTTCAGATTCTTGATAAGAAGCTGAAATGAGTATTAAAAATGGGGTTAAGAGAAGAATTGTGTACATAAGATAATGGCCACTAATGATGTCCCTCAGTAATTGTTCCTTACCTTCCATAAACTATGGAGCAGATTTTCCCCTGTCCAAGTCAATTACCACTCCAGGTAGACCACTCCAACCAAGATCCTCTCCAAGAGCCTTAATACCCCTCCTCTCCCTGCCCAATTAAAACATTTTGAAAAGTTCGACTAAAGTCTGATTTCCTCAATCAACCAGACAGAGACAACAGAGCTTTTGGGGCTTACAGTTTGTTAAACATTTTCTTGAGAGAGCACTGCTTATCTTGTGCTAGACCTGTTACATTTCAAGTACCAATGGAGGCAGTAGAACGAGGGAGAACTACTCCTCATCCAGTCCACCCACTTCAAATTTGATGCTTTTCTGGCTCCTGAAGTCAAGAGTGACTGTAGCATGGTTCTTAGGACCTGAGCCACAGTGATCATCAACCTAATTATATCAATTTTAGTCTTTTTCCCCCAAGGGGATTGGCATAGGGCTAGGGATAGAGGTAGAGCCAATACATGAAGATCACAGCTGCCCAGGGGAGAAAAGGAAGAAACGATGCTCTTTATTCTGCAACACACAGGCCACTGCAACCACACCCCCAAATTAGTTTCTGCTTTTAGTCTTAACTCACCGAATGCATCCGATCTAGGACAGCAAACCGATTTCGAGCAACCCAAACGGCTGTCAGGCCTGAGGATCGTTTCCCTTCAGGGGCTGAGAAGAACAAAACCAAAGGCGGGAGCATGTGGTGAGCCACTGGCAGGTGACAGAGTCAGGTGCCATGGAGCTGCCAGTCTTGCTGCCTGCCATCTTGGCTTTGCCAGTTCAGCTGCTTCCTAACTAATTCAGCCATAACCTGGGGCTATTGTCAAGTGACTTTTCCCCACCAGTCCCCTCCAAATTCCAACCTCCACCCTTGCCAAGCCTCTTTTCTCTAGGCCAAGTGGCTGCATTTCAGCTAACACCACATACTGGCAGAAGGGCCGCCCATCTTGGGAGACAGCACACTCCATCAAGCTAACGAGCAGGGCCACCCTGGCCAAGCTGTGGCAGAACAAGCAGCCTGTCAGTGTCATAGGACCCCCTCCCCAGGATGCAGCTGCTCTGCTGCTTTTAACATGCAAATGCAGACCTCCAAGTAGGGCAGGGTGGGGCAAAGCACTCCTAACTAAACCTTGACACAGAGCTCAGTGATGGGCAGTATTTAGCACCAAGCTGTTGCTTTGTAAATGTCAATTGCAGATTCTTATCACCCTGAAGAGAGTTGCAAAATATTCCTCAGTTTATTGCCTGATTAGAATTTTGAAATGGATGTTCCACTCTCTGGGAAACTTGTAGATGGATAAGCAGAAGAATGCATCAAAATACTCTTTTGCCTATTCAAGCAGCAGAAAAGTGGACAGAACATGCTGGACAGCCTTGCCTTTTACTTCTCTGGCACCTGGAGTGGGCAGGCAATTTACAAAACTAATTATTATCACAACCAATATTTCCATTTTTCCAGGGTCCAGGGAACCATACTCTTTAAGCTTTTGGTTTTTCTCTTCCTCTTCTCTGTTGCCCATTATTGGGCTGCACTTTTATTATCTCCCCTTAGAAATGGAGTAGAGAAAATAAAAGTGGTAATAAAAAAACAACAACAAAGATATTTTACACTCTATTACTTGCAAACAAATATGGGGGGGAAGCAAGGGAATGAGTTGGGAGGGACTAAATTACATGATTTAGTCACAAATGGCTTAACTGACTAATTTATAAAGGGGAATTTGATTTATGGGTACTAAATACATACAGGTTTTCTTTCTCTTTTCATGATCACATTTAAAAGAGTAAGTCAATTAGCAACAATGGTTATTACCTAATTGAACACTGGATATTACCCAGTGGTCTCCATAAAAGGAACAGAGCTAGTAAAATGGTTCTCAGGAATTTGTTGATGGGGTCTAAAAATATCATGAAAATATGCTAGTAAGAGTGGGGATCTGAAGAATAAACCTCTGACCTAGCAATATCCACAAAGCCACTGGAGGAAGTGCACTGAAAGGAGCATAAGCAATAGTCAAACCCATTCCAATAATGTTTTGTCAGCAAGTTCTAATCACAAGGATATCAGTAAGGGATGGTGGTGATGGAAGAGTTACACAGGGGTCTCAGCTGGATCCTAGGATCCCAGGTGGGGTGTGGGGCTGTTAGCAGCCTCATCTTTTTGACATGCAAAAGGAAGCAAATCGGATCTGGACGTGGATGGGAGAGTATAAATCCCTAGTCCCAGGATGAGACATTGTAAGATTGGAACCACATTTTTAAATAAATGAAACTACCAGGGTGAAAGTCATCTCAGTTGACAATAAACTAGGATAACATGCTGTGCTGAAAGAGAAAATGGAGAGTTTCTAATAACCAAATTATAAAATATATATATCTAGCTGGGGTAATAAAATGGAGGAGGAACATGAATATTTCACACCATGGTTGCCTCTGATGCAATTGTTAGCAGCACCTGCCAACAGACATGAGTGATGTGGCAACGGCCTGGGGATGGAATGTGTAAAAACCTGAAGAGAAGTGATGCTGTGGGTGAGGAGAGCTGGAGGCAGAGTGAGGTAGACAAAGAGAATGCTTACCATCAGGGTTCTGGGAGTCAGCGTCCTTGGGAATGGTGTACAGATCATAGGTACTATTTTCTAAATTGCTGGCTCTCTGTAGAGGAAAAGGGGAAATTATAATGTTAGTGAGAGGCAGCCAAGACACCAATTTACCAGTTTATTCTGACAGAGAAAACAGTTCCATTGCACAGACAACAATCTGAAACCATACTTTTCTCACACTTCATCTAGTGGGCATTTGAATGCTTCCATATCTAAGAATTATAGGGCTCTTTGCCAAACAACTCGGCATTGATGTCACTTTATTTTCCTTAACCTCCAATGAAAGCAAGAATTGCTCTCTACTCTACAAATTAACAAACTAAGACCCTGATATTCTAGTGCCCCACCTGAGTACTCATCAACTTAAAAGTATGCTTGAAAGAAAAAAAAAGATATCAAAGAAAATTGCCAAGAGAATATGGGACTGCTAAATATTAAAGAATGACTGAGATTAAACACTAAAAGTTATATGGGGAAAGAGAAGTTTTCATTCTTTTTAAGTTGGCCACCAGGGCACTAAAATTAGGATGTCATTTCTTTTCTTTAGCAAATTGTGTGGCAAGACATGGGGAGGGCTCCTTGATGACTCTGAAGGCAACCCCAGTAAAAAAAAAACTCCCTCTCAAAATCACAACAGTTCTTCTATTTTCACCCAAAGGAAGGGACAAAGATAACACAAGATATAGTCATAAACATTCTCTCAAATTACTTTTAGTGATCTAGGTCATTCATCTTGATACTCCATTAAATTTAGAGATTGTTAGCTTCAAGAGAGATACAAGTTTACAAATGCTCAATTTGTTTATGACAACTAAAGTCTACCTGGTTTGAGCTTCTGAGCTTTCACTGTGTTAGCTCTAGCAAAATGACCATTAAATAGCTTATATTATAAGGAGACATTAAATATCCCTTAAGGGCATGAGAAAGAGACCTAAGGAAAATGGGGAAACCCAGGACAACTCCATAGGTTACTTACCGTACAGAGTAGGACTGCATTTTCTGCTGGATTGTATGACATATTGAATACTGGAAACTTGGAACCACTAGAGAGATATATAGAAAAAGCAGAAAACAAGGAAAAGGCATAAGAATAGAAGGAAGAAAGGAATTACCCCTGTACTTCTTACTTAGCCAATATTTACATATATATACTTATCACTTTTATAATCAGGAATAAAAATAAATATTGCATTTATTCTCTTCCTTCCTTTAAGGCTTAGGAATGTACCTATCTCATCTTTGAACAAACAGTTTAAAAAAGTAAACTGTACAAGAAGTCAAATTATTCAATAGAAGGTAGGGTTACTGTAGTGAGTGGGACTTGTTCTGCTTGGATTCAAATTCCTACACATAATTGCAGTGGACACCACAGAGTAACATGATGTGATTTGTCTCTGGCTGGTTTCTCCTGTCCCTTTCAGTGTTCACATAAACCCATCTTTTTATTGTAGTGATGCTAGAGGGTGGTTATCAAACCCTCATGCCAAAGTTTGCCACCATTAATGTTTCAGAATGCTGATGCAGCTGGCTTTCCAAAAGGACAGTTCCTTTTGCCAGACATCCCAGAGGTTATCATTCCAGGGACACATATTCCAGTTTAGAATTGTGTGCATTTTAGCAGAATAATGCCAAATAAAAGCAAAAAACCCTGTTAACCATTTGGGCTACTCTCTACCAAGAAACTTTCTCTGGTTTGCAAGAGATCTGGCAAACTATGATAGTATGACTTCCTATCCACAGGGTCACTAGCATTCTCAACAGGGGAACTCCTTGCCTACAATGCTCCTAGGGTTTAAAGTGAACAGGCTCATCTAATGGGGATTCCATCTATGACAGGAAATGAGATCCAAAATGTTCAAAAGAAGACTCTTGTTTGTGGGTATTGTATCACAGTGACAGGTAAAAGGGTTTAGAGGGAGGAAACAAGATTGATTTACCTCCGCAACTGCATCACAGCTACATCTTTGGAGCTGTTGAAATCCAACTGACGTAAGAATCGGTCCTTGACATAATGCAGCATATTGCCATGAACAGCATAGGCTGGCCGTTCCCGTTCCAGCTTAAACACAATCATGCCACCATCATGGCCTGGGGGAGAAGAAGAAGAGAAGAAAGAATTAGCTATAGGCAAGAAAGCTGGAAACAGGAGATACACAAGGATGAAGATTATATATGCTAAACACAAAGCAAGACAGAGTCTCACTTTGTTGTCCAGGCTAGAGTGAGTGCCGTGGCGTCAGCT